GCCTGAAGATACGACTTAATCTAAACAAGACAATAGCTAGTAAGACAACAAGGACATCAAGAAATAGACAAAAACTAAACGATTAGAACAAGCACACGATTTACACCATACATGCTTGAACATATCGGTCGGTCTTCAAAACTTAACCCAGCAAGAAAAAAAACCTCTAGTAGTAACTCGCATGAAGGCAATGCATGAGACGCTTAACAAAAGTATAAAAATAAATAATACAGACCCAATAATACTCAAATGACAAATTCAGGAAGGAAAACACCAAAACACACTTAAAGAACAACACTAAATATAAATCGGCAGAACTTCAAATCAGTATTTCGACTAACTCTTGTAGATGACTACGAACAACATCTCAAATCCAATCACTTAGCTACCTCACACAAACGATGAACCGAGGAGAACAAAAAAACAACATTCAAGAAATGAAGAAAATAAACCAACAGACCATTTCAAATTACAACAAAAGAACAACTAAAAGAATTGGAATTGAAAAAAAGTTTACCTTCTTGTGTGCAACAAACTGAGACAGACGAGTAGAGGCAGAGACCTTCACCACGAGAAACTCGAACACAACGCCAGATGGAAATTCGAGCAGAAACTTAAACACAAAACCGAAAACTAGTATCTCTTTGGCTTATGAAGAATATTTAGCGTGTATTAAAATTATTTTTTCTAAAAAAAATAAATTCTTCTCTATGTTTGCTTTTAAATTTTTTTCTCAACCCTCCTCCAAAAAGAAAATCCCCCGTAATGAAGGAGAAGAAGGGTTTAAATAGAGGAAATTAGGGTTCGGTTTTTAGGGGAGGAAAAGAGTGAAAAACTCGAATGAACAAGGCCCAACCATTTCAAATAGAATTCCTTCCGAAATCCAGCCCATTTCCGCATGAAAATCCCATATTTTCAACAAGAAATTGAGCGAGGTGGAGGGCTAAGATCGACCTATTGTACTCTCAGCTCGACGTGGCTTCAATCCTGCGTGGCGAGGATGAAACACGGCTATTGCAGGTGTTTTTCGCTGCTGGAACAGTACGATCGTACTGGGTGAAGAGGACGACGCGTCCTCTGTTTTGGAGTCGTTGGAATTTCTGCTTTCCATGTATTTTCACGCTGTTGCGTGCTTTTCCGTGAATTGCGATGGCTTCTGTTGTTGGAGATGGTTGCTGCTACTGTTCCGTCTATTTGACGCCGCTTCACGTTGCTGGAAGCGTTATTGAAAAAGAAAGATAATATGGGGTCGTGTATTGGGTATTCGATATTGTATGTTGTCGGTTGTGGGAGTCAAATTAAGTATTGGGTTGTTATAATTAAAAAAAGGAATTAGAATGGGTAGTTAATGGGGTGGGGCAGATGTCTGTGTACGTATGTTGTTGGTTTGCAAATAAATAAAGAAATAAAAAAGGTGGGTCGGTTGTAAAGAAAATAAAGGCCCAAAATAATTGATTAAAAGGATGGAGTGAATTGGCTAGATTTGGCTAAGGCATGCAATAGAGAATTAATTAACAATTTAGTCAAATTGGGTTAATTAGTAAATTCGACTAGTAATTAAATAAGACGAATTAAGATAATTAACTAACGAGCTCCTTAATCTTAACGGAATAAAATAATTAACTTAATAAAAATAATTAATTCAACAACATAGCTATAATTCAAACTAAATTAGATTAATAAATTGTTTAACGTTAAAATATTAATACTAATAGTAATAATAATAATAATGAAATCTTTTTTCAAGATAGTCTTCAAGTATTTATAAAATATATTAGTTACATACGTCACACTATAAAACATATTTATTATTAAAAATATTATAAAAGTGAATAAAATTCTTAAAATATCTTGAAACACATTTTGAATTTTTATAAAATTAGTTATTTCAAATCGTTTGGAATTAAGGAAGCTCGATGATTAATTTATATTGTGGAGGTCCAAAATTGGATGTCAACAACTGTCACTCGTTTAACTTGGATTGATGAAAGAAATTCAAGGAAAATGAAATTGACGAATCCAATTTTGACCGAACACATCTTCATCTTTCAGAAAGAGGGATTTGGTAGGGACTTTAGGAATTATGGCTGAACCCGGAGATGGGTTTCCTATGTATCTCAGGCTATATGAGAATTTAGGCCACTTGTAATTCGATACGCTTGATTTATCGCATGATTTTGAAAGAATTCAAAAGCGATCCGATATCAAATTATGAAGATATCAAAATGCTCGGAAATAGGATTTAAGAGCAAATGTTGGAATACGACCTAGTTTTCAACATTGAGTTCGCCTACATATCCTTCAGCATTAGGAATCAGGCTGCTTGTAGTTTGATTCTATCGGTTGAAAAGGAAATCTATTATGCTAGATCACCTTTGGTTTTAGAAAAGCGATAACGTAAGTCGAGTATGAAAAGGAGGCTTGCAACCTCTTAGTCATGAACGTGGCGCGCTTCACACCCTTAACCAAGAATTTACACGGTCATAATTTCCAAAGCACTTGGCGCATTGTCACCTCGATTGGAAAGCTGCTTCCGGTAGACCAAAATTTCCGGATGCGAAACTGAAACCGACAAACCTAAAGATAAACCCACATGCTTTCTAATAGGGGTGTGGTTTGATTATGGTGGAAATCGCTCCTCTGCTCGCGTCCTAAGAGTTTGGCACTCCTCTTTGGACTATGTCCCAGTTCGCTGCTAAGAAAAAGTTCCACGTTGTGCTGCATCCTAATTGATGTCGTCCGCACCTGTGGTTTGTTTTGAGAATTCATCCTCTTGGATGCTCTCGACAAAGACTGAGATAAAACTCATTAGTATAAAAATGCGACACAAATGGAGGGATAGTGTCTTTTACCATGTTGACACTTAATTGCTCTCCTTGAACATTTGGCATCAACTCCATCAGGTTCGATGCAAAGCAAATAAAGCTAGTGTTTCATATTTGCAATATAATCTTCAATGTACTCTTCCCTTGATTAATAAATTAGGCTGACGTAATATGTTGCCAGTTCTCTTGACGTCGTTGTTGATAATTCTCTTGATGTCATTTTGTAAAGAAAAAATGATGCAGTGATGTTGAAATTCTCGTGATGGGTAAATCTTTCTCTTGCAATGCATAACTTCTTTTCCCCGATGCACGAATCCTTCTCTTGCTATGCATGAATCTCTTTTCCGCGATGCATGATGTTTTCCCTTGCTATGCATGGTTTCTTCTTCTTGCTATGCATAAATCTCTTTCCCGCGATGCATGACTTTTTTATCTTGCAATGCATGACTTTTCCGCGATGCATGAATCCTTCTCTTACTATGTGTGAATCTCTTTCCCACGATGCATGACTTTTTTCCGCGATGCATGAATCTCTTTCTTATTATGCATGGTTTCTTCTTCTTGTTACGCATGAATCTCTTTCTCGCGATGCATGACTTGGATGATGCCTCCCTGATACCGAACGAATATGATGCTTCACCCAGTAACATAGGTGATCTTCTGGGTACCTCTTGGACGGCAGTATCGTCTCGATCGACAATATAAATAACAATGACCCTCGGACTAGTAATATCATTTCTTTTGACAATAGATATAAATGACTCTCCGGGTAGTGATATCGTCTCAATTGACAATATAAATAAAAATGACCCTCGGAATAGTGGTATCATCTCATTTGACAATACGATATAAATGACTGTCCGAGCAGTGGTATCGTCTCAATCGATAGTACACTATAAATAACCTTCAGGGTAGGAATATTATCATATCTGACAATACAATGCAGATAAACGTCTTCCAGATATCTTTAGTTGCTTGAAAATAAATAAAATTTCTCTCTTCGAGGTTTTTATTTGTCACCAGTCCGAACATAATCGTATGTCCATTATGGATTTCTCTTTGTTGGGAATTTGAATGAAATAATGCTATTCATATTCCCGAATATTTGATATAAGAAACATAAAATATTTCCTAGATCCACCGAAAAAATTGTCAATTTTCGGGGGAGCTCCTCGCCCTTTGACTTCTCCATATCCATTGAATGGAGGAATATGTTGATTTTTGAGGTAAACCTATAAACCTGTATCCATAGAAAAATTGTTAGTTTAAGAGTAAACTGATCTGTGTCGATCTCTTCGGTTGTCTGCTCCTTGTTTTGCTATTTCCGATTGATTTCTCCGATCTCCCGCTTCTTGATAGATAAGACAAAACCTTTTTATGCAAAAATGATTGAAACATGAAAGAAAAGTTTTTAGGGAAAATAAATTTTCAAAAATATAAAATTTGGAAAAAATCACTGCCAAGTGTCATGTCACGTCAAGTTTGATGAACGTCATTCGGAGTTGCTGTTTTGAGATCTGTCTGATTACTTGCTGGGAAGTATTCAAAGTTGGTATAAACTGCCAATAAGCCCCGTTGAAATTTTGAGACCGTCCTCAAAATTTTTGTCCCAGTTAATTGTCTCGGCGTATCTTTAACCGTTGATGATCAAATCACGAAATTTTTGAGATCCTCCCAAAAATTATGTCCCAGTTGCAAATTTCAAAGTAATTTCAGTGTCGACTTTGTTGGAGAGATCTTCTTCTTGAGAATTTTTGAGTTCCTCTCAAAAATTCTGTCCCAGTTTCCATTGTAAAGGAAATAGAAATCTTACGGGAAATATGACCTAGCCGTTGTGGCGCCTACGTATCCCGTTGAGGCAGGAATCAGGTCAAACGTAATTTCTCCTTAATGGTTAACAAAAATAAGAGAATTTACAAAAAAACCAACCTAGGCCGACATAGGCCGCCTACGTATCTCATTCTTGAGAATTCAGGTCAAACGTAGTTCAAATACAGGGGAAAGTATTAAAAGGGGATAAAGGAGTGACCGAGGCCGACATAGGCCGCCTACTTATCTCATTTTTGAGAATTCAGGTCAAACGTAGTTCATTACATAGGGATAAATTCTAAACAATACAATTACAAGCAAATAGAATAATTACAAGGGAATGACAAGAAAATATAAACTGAAACTTCACATATAGTATCTCTTGACAGCATCTGAGTTGATCGGTTTCGGCCATTCGGTGCCATCCATCTCCGACAGGACCAAAGCACCTCCCGATAATACTTTGCGAACCATGTAGGGTCCTTGCCAATTTGCTGCAAATTTCCCTTTATACTCATCCTGATGAGGGAAAATGCGTTTAAGGACCAGCTGGCCATTTTCAAATATCCTGGATCTTACTTTCTTGTGGAAAGCACGAATCATTCTCTGTCGATACAATTGACCATGACAAACAACAACCATTCTCTTCTCATCAATCAACGTTAACTGATCAATCTGTTTGCGGACCCATTCGGCGTCGTTCAATTCAGCTTCTTGAATGATTCTCAATGAAGGTATTTCGACCTCGG